CAGCTTGGGCTGTGACTTCAGAGGCTGGAAGCCACAAACCTTGGCAGTTTCCATGTGGTGTTGAGCCTGTGAGCACACAGAAGTCAAGAACTGAAGTTTGGGAACCTCTGCCTAGATTTCAAAAGATGTATGGAAATGCGTGGATGCCCAGACAAAAGTTTGCTACAGGGGCAGCGTCCTCATGGAGAACCTCTGCAGAGGGAAATGTGGGATCAGGGCCCCCACACAGAGTCCCTGCTGGGGCACTGCCTAGTGGGACGGTGAGAAGAGGGCCACAATCCTCCAGACCCCAGAATGGTAGATCCACTGACAGTTTGTACCGTGCACCTGGAAAACTAAACATGGCGTTTAGCAGACACTCAATGCCAGCCCATGAAAGCAGCCTGGAGAGAGGCTGTACCCTGCAAAGCCACAGGGACAGAGCTGCCCAAGACCATGGGAACCCACCTCTTGCATCAGCGTGACTGGATGTGAGACTTGGAGTCAAAGGAGATCATTTTGGAGCTTTAAAATTTGACTGCCCGGCTGGATTTCAGACTTGCATGGGCCCTGTAACCCCTTTGTTTTGGCTAGTTTCTCCCATTTGGAATGGCTGTATTTACCCAATACCTGTACCCCATTGTATCGAGGAAGTGACTAGCTTGCTTTGATTTTACAGGCTCATAGGTAGAAGGGACTTGCTGTGTCTCCGATGAGACTTTGGACTGTGGACTTCTGGGTTAACGCTGAAATGAGTTCAGACTCTGGGGGACTGTTGGGAAGGCATGGTTGGTTTTGAAATGTGAGGACATGAGATTTGGAGGGGCCGGGGGAGGAATGATAGGGCTTGGCTGTGTCCCCACTGAAATCTCGAATTGTATCTCCCAGAATTCCCACATGTTGTGGGAAGGACCCAGGGGGAGGTGATTGAATCATGGAGGCTGGTCTTTCCTGTGCTAGTCTCATGACAGTGAATGAGTCTCTTGAGATCTGATGGGTTTATCAGGGGCTTCTGCTTTTGCTTCTTCCTCATTTTCTCTTGCTGCCCCCATGTAAGAAGTGTCTTTCACCTCCTTCCCTGTTCCTGAGACCTGCCCAGCTATGTGGAAATGGAAGTCTAACTAAGCCTTTTTTGTAGTTGTTGTTCCTGGTTTCAGGTACATCTTTATCAGCAGCATGAAAACGAACTAATACAGTCCTTCCCAAAGATGCCCACACATGAAATCCGGGACCCTTATATAATATTTAACAGAAGCAGGCCGGGCGCGGTGGCTCACGCCTGTAATCCCAGCACTTTGGGAGACTGAGGCGGGTGGATCACGAGGTCAGGAGTTCGAGACCAGCCTGACCAACATGGTGAAACCCTATCTCTACTATAAATACAAAGAAAAAAAAATCCAGGTGTGGTGGCGCATGCCTGTAATCCCAGCTACTTGGGAGGCTGAGGCAGAAGAACCGCTTGAACTTGAGAGGCAGAGGTTGCAGTGAGCCCAGATGGTGCCCCTGCACCCCAGCCTGGGTGACAGAGCGAGACTCCATCTCAACAAAAAAAAAAGAAAGTAGAATGAACTTCCAACTGCTTCCTTCAAAAGAAAGTGAGGCAGACTCTTATACAGTCCCAGGAGATGGACGTGACACCTCTGCACCACTCAGAATTGCCTGAAGTGGGGTGGGGTGGGGGAAGCACTTGGGTAAAAGTACAAAGAGGATGAACTTAATGCGGAGAAGACAGGAAGGGGGAGAGGAAGGGAACGTCACGAATATTAAAAACAGGCAATGTAAAAACAAAATGCAACCAATTAAAATATTGTTTAGTTTAGAGACAGACAGATACAATAAAGATGGGGTGAGGGAAGAAAAGATGGCAAAAGGAGAGGACCAGGCCTGAGAAGAGGAAGAGGAGAGTGTGGAGGAGGCTGCTTGCCTGCTGTGGGATGGATGGCAGCGGCACTTCCCCAGACGCACTTTTCTCAAATGTAAAACTAACCAGCCTTGTGCCACAGATGTGAAGATAACCCCATAGAACTTAAAGAGCGGACCATAAACTTCCATGCATGAGAGCTACTAGCATTTACATCTGGAAAACAATTTGGATACCCAAGTCACCAACGAACAGTCACACTGCAGCTGGAGAGCACATTCGTAACACACGGAAAAATTTTTTTTTTTTTTTTTTTTTTTGAGACTCCATCTCCCAGGCTGGAGTGCAGAGGTGCAATCACGGTTCATTACAACCTAGACCTCCTGGGTTCAAGTGATCCTCCTGTCTTAGCCCCTCTAGTAGCTGGGACCACAGGTGTGCACTGCCATGCCCGGCCCATTTTGTATTTTTTGTAGAGATGGGGTTCTCACTATGTTGCCCAGGCTGTGAGGAGGGCGAAAATCACCTGGTGACCATTGAACAGGCTCCAGAGACAAATCTTCTTACCTGAGCAATTCAGAAGGGAGCAAAGACCACCTGGTGACCATCAAACAGGGTATCTGGAGGCAAAATTCATTATATATGGGGAATTCAGAAGTAATCGAACTTCCCTAGTATCTAAAGACAGCATCTGATTCTGATACAGGGACTAAAAATAAATCATTTAGGCAGTTAGGGTAAGAGAGTCCTCAGTAAGGCTTTCCTTTTAACAAAAAGCAGCCCCCAAATTATTTCTTTTCTAACAAAGAGCAGCCTGTAAAATCGAGCTGCAGACATGGATAAGCCAGCTGGAAGCCTGCATAGGCGAATGCTGGCAGCTGTGCCAATAGAAAAGGAATAGCTGGAAGCCGGGTATGTTCAACATGCAAGTTCCCCTTACCTTTTCTTTTTTCTTTTTTTTAAATGAATAGTTTTATTGTATTTTCTTGTCAAACACCTTTACTTGAGGCAACAATTGACATATAATTTAATTCAGCGGGAAATATCACACTTGGAGGGAAAACACACACTCAAAAAAACCATTAAATTAAAGCCAAACATTCTTTCCAAGGCACAGCACTGGCATTTTCAGATTGACAGCAGAACGAGTTTGTTTCCGTGAAACAAAATCACGAGTCCAGAGTCTGTTTTTGAAACAGCTTTCCACTTCATCTCCCTTTCTCGGGCTCAGGGAAGGATGCTCGAGGCCTTCCTCGGGGCCAGGTGGCCGGTGGCGACCTCAGAGGGCAGCCTCCAAATGTAGGAAAACTCTTCAACGGTGCCGAGCCGCAGTTTGCTCTGGGGGTCTGTGTGGTTGGCGAGCAGACCTGGAACATCAGAATACTTCTTAGCTGGCTTAAAGGGTGGAGGAGCATCAGTACTGAAGTAGTTGGGATCGTTCAGTTGCCACGGCAATGCCCTTTGGGAAGCGAGGATTTGTTTCAGGTTCTTCCAGGTCGTGTTCTTGGCAGCTACTGCGCCACCGTGGCCAGAGTGCACAAAGTTGGGATCCTTAAATGGCAAAGGTTTGGCAGCTTTTTCCACAGGTCCTGTGCTAAACTCAGAGGGCACCACTTTATTCTCACTCCTGGCTTCCATGCTGATACCCTGCACAAAGCTGGAGGCGGACACTGTTTTCTTCTACTGGCTGCTGCCGGCGTGGGAAGGGCTGGCCGGCCTCTTCTTGCTGTTCGGACTGTTCTGGGAGTGGAAGTGGTGCCACAACTGGAATTTGCGCCGCCATCACACCCTGAGTCTTCCCCTGGTCCCCCCACCCCTTTCCCAGCGCGGGCCCTGGAACTTCTTTCCCCCCTTTCCATTTCTTTGTCCTCACAAGTGCAGTAAAAAAGCAGGCAAGGTGGTGCCCCTAGGTGGAGACTCCGTTTGCATAAACGATTTGCATAATAAAAGGATGAGTTGGCCGGCTGCTTCCAGTGCTGTGTAAACCACACACCTGGTCCAGCCAATCCTCTGTGGCCTGTGTAAACCAGACACCGCCTTCTCAAGCTCATCTATGAAACCATCTCGTTGTGAAGCGGGAAACCCCCTCACTCTGCATAAGGGAACTTTTCTCTTTTGCCTATAAAACTGCCGCTCTTAAACTCACTCATTGTATGTCTACGTCCTCAATTTCCTTGGTGTGAGGCAACAAACCTCGGGTATTACCGCAGACAAATGACACCGCTTCAATTCCAGGCCTCTTTGAACTTTTATAAGTAAATAAAATTCCTAAACATCTCTGGAATACCATGCTGAAACTCAGTTTACAACTCTGAGCTCCAACCTTAAGGTCCATAAATGCTCCTAAGGAAAATCCACCACCGGGCGCTCAGTCCTGTCTCAGGTGCCACGCTGCACTCTTTTGCAGCGTTCTTCCTAATATACTTCCCTTTTTTTTTTTTATTTTGAGACAGAGTTTCACTCTATCGCCCAGGCTGGAGTGCAATGGCATGATCTTGGCTCACTGCAACCTCTGCCTCCTGGGTTCAAGTGATTCTCCTGCCTCAGCCTCCCAAGTAGCTGGGACTCCAGGCGCACACTACCACACCGGGCTAATTTTTGTACTTTTAGTGGAGACAGGGTTTCACCATATTAGCCAGTCTGGTCTCGAACTCCTGACCTCATGATCCACCCGCCTTAGCCTCCCGAAGTGCTGGGATTACAGGCATGAGCCACCGTGCCTGGCCTTGTTGTTTATTTTTCAGAGACAAGGTCTATGTTGCCCAGGCTGGCCTCAAACCCCCAAGGTCAAGTGGTCCTCCTGCCTCAGCCTCCTGAGTTGTTGGGACTACAAAAGTGTGTCTCCACACTAGATAAAGCTGTTTTTGGAAAGTTCTTCTTCCTAGATAGTTTTCTTTTTTCTTATTCTTTTTCTTTTTTCTTTTTTGAGACAGAATCTTGCTCTGTCTCCCAGGCTGGAGTGCAGTGGTGCAATCTCGGCTAACTGCAACCTCTGCCTCCTGGTTCAAGTAGTACTCCTGCCTCAGCCTCCCAAGTAGCTGGGATTACAGGCACACACCATCATGCTGGCTAATTCTTGTACTTTTAGTAGAGACAGGGTTTTGCCATGTTGCCCAGGCTGGTCTTGAACTTCTGACCTCAAGTGATCTGCCCGCTTCAGCCTCCCAAAGTGTTGGGATTACAGATGTGAGCCACTGTGCCCGGCCAACATTTTTCAATACAGATTTAAATAACAAATAACATTGAGAAGCCCCGCTATAAGCTCCCAGGAAAACTATTTTCCATATTCATTTATCCAGTAGGATTCTGTTACTAGGCCAGAGAATGTATATTTTTATTCCTGAAAAATGTGTCATAAAATACAGGGTGCATATGTAGACATTTTAAATAATAAAAAGTTAATACCTACATATGCACTGCCCACCCTAAGAAAGACAGTATAAGCAATTGAAACACTCTTAACCTCTAATTCAATGGCTGTCATCTGGGGGCAATTTTTCTCCCCCCGGGGGAACTTGCCAAGTCCACAGACAGCCTGGGTCATCACCACAGGGAGGGGCCACCACTGGCATCTGGTGGGTGGAGGCCAGGGCCGCTGCTCAACACCCTTCGAGTCCAGAATGCCCCACTGGCCTCACGTGTCACCAGGGCCTTCCCACTGCATGCTGGTCCCCAGGAGATCATCACAATCTCATGAGACTCTCGTGTTAACCGTCCCTTGCCCTTCCTCACAGTTCTACTGCACGTCTGTGTCTCTAGGTCACATTTGGCTTTGCCTTTGTTTGAACTTCACGTAAGTGGGATCATTCAGTCCAGCCCTCTTATCACTGCAGCTCTTTGCTATGTCTAACCTTTTTAGCCAATTCATCCTGTTTCTAATGTTAGTTATCCGGATTTTCATTTCTGGGAGTTTCACTGGCTTCTGTTCTGTACTCTCTAACAGTTCTGATGCTTTCTCCTCCTTACTGCTTTTCATTCCTTTAAACACAGACATATTCCTATTCTGTGTCTCATCATCTCAGGACCGGCAGCCGCTGTGCACTCGATGTTTTGTTTGTGGTTTCTTGGGACTCTGCTCAAGGCTCATTTTCTCTGGTGATTTTCTCATGAGTTCTCAGAGCATGCACATTCACTTCTGCATGGGTCAAAACTAAAGTTCTAAATTCAATGTGTACACAGAAGAATTCCACAGCCCACCTTGACCTGCCCACCCACCCCTTTCACGAAGCCGAAGCCAAGGGCCTGGCACTTCCTTTTTTCTTCAACCAGCAAAGTAACTCAGAGCTCCCACTGAGAGGAAGTGCAGATCCCTCCCCCAGATCGCTGGGAATTCTCAGGAACACGTCTCTGCCCTTCCACCCAGGCTGAGACAGGGAGCACCCGGTGCCCGCTTCAGGTTTCTGGCTTGAGAGATGCAGCCCCCTTCCCATCCACAGGTAAGGTGGGAGCAGGCACCCACCTCTACCCACCTTTCTCTGAAGGGAGGGTTTCCCTGAGTTCGTGTACTGAGAGCCACCCTCCCAGAGCCCCTGAGTTCATGCCACACGCCAAGAGTCCAGGCTTTGGGTGGTGGTGTCAGGCCTCAGGCTGCCCTCAGGGCAGGCACATCAAACCCCTGGCAGGCAACAGCCCTGGGGGAAACGTAAGCCTCAGAATTCCTCTACTTACCTGCCAACCCTGCCCCCAAGGAATCCCTTAACTTTCCTGCCAACACTGCCAAGCCTTTTTTTTTTTTTTTTAAGTAGCTTATGGTGGCTCGTGCCTGTGATCCCAGAAATATTGGAGGATGAGGAGGAAGGATTTCTTGAAGCCAGGACTTTGAGACCAGTGACCCATCTGACATGGTTTGGCTGTGTCCCCACCCGAAATTTCATCTTGATTGTAATCCCCGTGTGTCAAGAGCAGGACCAAGTGGAGGTGACTGGATCATGGGCGTGGTTTTCCCCCACGCTGTTCTTGTGATAGTGAGTGAGTCTCATGGGATCTGATGGTTTTGTGTCTGGCATTTCCCCTGCTTGCATTCATTCCATCCTGCCGCCCTATGGAGAGGGGACCTGCCTTCTGCCTTGATTGTAAGTTTCCTGAGGCCTCCCCAGCAATGTGGAACTGAAACCTCTTAAGAGTCACTTAAACCTCTTTCCTTTATGAATTACCTCTTCTCAGGTGTTTCTTCATAGCAGCATGAGAATGAACTAATACACCACCTCCAATAAAATAATGCTTCTTAAAAGTAGCTTTTAAAATATTTCTCCTGCTGCCCTAGAAATCACTGACCATGTAATCAGCCAAGTTCTGGAAACAGAAATTCCTGACAGTTAATATTAACAATAAAAAAATTATAACTGAAGAGACAAGGAAGAGGAAAGAGAAGCTGTGGAAGGAAAATATAATCTCAAGACCCCAAACTCACAATGCCAAACGGAAAATTAAGCTTGGGAACTAAGTCATGCCAAAACTGCTTCTCCTTTTGTTCCCAAAGAGAGTTGTGATTTCGCATGCTTGCCCTCAGGGTCCAGGCAGCCGGCATACACCCTGAAGTCACCTGGTGGGGTGTCACACTACACAGGACCTGTGCTAGACACACCTTGACGTGCCCCTCAGACCCTTGCTGGGCCCATAGGCTTTTGAGGGGTGCTATAGCCAACTGGATGGACGTCCTAGGCCTATCCCAGGCCACCCAGCGCTGGACTTGAGGAAATGTCCTCCATAGAGAATGAAATATGATGACGACCACCCGGGGGGCAAGACAGCAAAGAAAGCAGCACTCAGTGCGCGAGCCTGGCCAGGCTGAAGCGGAACAGACATGTCCATCTCCCAGGACAGCTCAGGGGTGACCAACTGGACAATAGGCCCCCTTCCCAGCAGTGGGCATTCCTACTTGGACTCCCCTGAGGACATCCTGGCCTCCCTCCCTGCCATCTTCCTGTCCCTCACCTATTGCTGGAGGGTTCAAGAAGGTCTACCGATGCCTGTGAGATGCCAGCCACAGCTGGTGTCCAGGGTTTTTGGCACCATGGTGAGAAAGAATTCAGGGCTGAGTCAATGAAGTGAAAAGACAGAAGCTTTTATTGCAAAGCGAAAGCACACACTTAGGACAGAAGTCGTGCCCAAAGGAATTTGGGTTTCTAACTTTACGTGCTCTTCTAATTAGGGGGTGGAAGAATCATGTGGTTTTCTAGGGAAAAGGTGGAGGTTCCCTAGAATGGGGGTGCCATCCATTTTCATAATCGTGGTATTCTAGGGAAAAGCGGAGGTCTCCTAGAATAGGGGTGCCATTCATTTTCATAATTATGTGGTTTTCTAGGGAAAAGGCGGAGGTCTCCTAGAATGGGGGTGCCATCCATTTTCATAATCATGTGGTATTCTAGGGAAAAGCGGAGGTCTCCTAGAATGGGGGTGCCATTCATTTTCATACTAAATGTGGGCATGCTCAGAGCTGCCATACACCCAGCCTCATTTTAAAAATTGGTTCCTCTTACTCTGCAAAATTAATGGTTGAGTAATCATTCTTGGCAATCTCAATACCAGATTTGTTGCTGACAATGAAAGCCTTGAGGGACAAGGCCTTTTCTACGTGAGTTTGGACTCTATAGGCAACTCTTCAGTGGCTTTTCTGTTTCTAGCATTTTACTCACATCCTTACCTGGTGAACTGAACTGCAGGTTGTGCCATACATAACCCCTCTGCTTTCCCATCACTCTAGGAGGGCAGCCCGGATTTGGTGGAAAGTATTCTCATCAGCATGCAGCTAGACACGAGGACCTAACAGATTAAGATGTGCCACAGGGTTTGCAGATTCCTTGACCATCTGTTTGCTGGTTCAGGATTGTTGAAATCTGCACTGTTTGCATGTTTTATGAGGCTTCTCCAGTCACATGGTGGCAGGTAAGAGAGAATGAGAGCCACATGAAAGGGTTTCCAGTTCTAAAACCATCAGCTCTTGTGAGATTTATTCACTACCAGGAGAAAAGTATGGGGAAAAACTGCCCCCATGATTCAGTTATCTCCAGATCCCTCCCAAAACATATGGAAATTATGACAGCTATAATTCAAGATGAGATTTGGGTGGGGACACAGCCAAACAATACCATTCCATCCCTGGCCCCTCCCAAATCTCATGTCCTCATATTTCAAAAGCAATAATGCCTTCCCAACAGTCCCCCAAAGTCCTTTCAGCATTAACTCAAAAGTCCACAGTCCAAAGTCTCATCTGAGACACAGCAAGTCCCTTCTGCCTATGAGTCTGTAAAATCAAAAGTAAGTTAGTTACTTCCTAGATACAATGGGGGTATAGTGATTGGGTAAATACAGCCATTCGAAATTAGAGAAATTAGCCAAAATGAAGGGACTAAGGGCCCATGCAAGTCTGAAATCCAGTGGGGCAGTCATTAAACCTTGAAGTTCCAAAATGATCTCCTTTGACACCATGTCTCACATCCAGGTCACACTGATGCAAAAGTGGGCTTCCATGGCCTTGGGCTCTGCCCTGTGGCTTTGCAGGGTATACCCCACTCTTGGCTGCTTTCATGGGCTGGAGTTGAGTGTCTGTGGCTCTTCCAGGGCCATAGAGCAAGCTGTTGATGGATCTACCAGTCTGGGGTCTGGAGGACAGTGGCCTTTTTCTCACAACTCCACTAGGCAGTGCCCTAGTGAGGACTCTGTGTGGGGGCTTAAACCTCACATTTTTCTTCTGCTCTGCCCTAGCAGAGGTTCTCCATGAGGGCCCTACCCCTGCAGCAAACTCCTGCCTGGACATCCAGGCATTTCCATACATCCTCTGAAATCTAGGCAGAGGTTCCCAAACCTCAATTCTTGACCTCTGTGCACCCAGAGGCTCCACATCACATGGAAGCTGCCAAGGCTTAGGGCTTGCATTCTTTGAAGCCACAACCCAAGCTGTACCTTGGCCCCTTTTAGCCATGGCTGGAGTGGCTGGGACACAGGGCACCAAGTCCTTACCTAGACTGCACACAGCAGGGGGGCCCTGGGCCAGGCACCAAAAAAACACATTTTTTCCTACTAGGCCTCCAGGCCTGTGATGGGAGGGGCTGCCACAAAAGTCTCTGACATGCCCTAGAGACATTTTCTCATTGTCTTGATGACTAACGTTTGGCTCCTTGCTCACGCCTGTAATTCCAGCACTTTGGGAGGCTGAGGCAGGCAGATCACTTGAGGTCAGGAGTTCGAGACCATCATGGCCAACATGGTGAAACCCCGTCTCTACTAAAAATACAAAAATTAGCTGGGAGTGGAGTCGGGCACCTGTAATCCCAGACACTCAGGAGGCTGAGGCAGGAGAATCACTTGAACCCAGGAGGGGAGGTTGCAGTGAGCCGAGATCATGGCCACTGCATTCCAGCCTGGGTGACAGAGGGAGACTCCGTCTCAAAAAACAAACAAACAAACAAAAAATTTGACTCCTTATTACTTATGCAGATTTCTGCAACTGACTTGAATTTCTCCACAGAAAATGGGTTTTCCTTTTTTTTTTTTGAGACGGAGTCTCGCTCTGTCACCCAAGCTGGAATGCAGTGGCATGATCTTGGCTCACTGGAAGCTCCGCCTCCTGGGTTCACGCCATTCTCCTGCCTCAGCCTCCCAAGTAGCTGGGACTACAGGCGCCCGCCACCGCGCCCAGCTAATTGTTTGTGTTTCTTAGTAGAGACAGGGTTTCACTGTGGTCTCGATCTCCTGACCTCATGATCTGCCCACCTTGGCCTCCCAAAGTGCTGGGATTACAGGCGTGAGTTACCACACCCAGCCGGGTTTTCCTTTTCTATCTCATCGTCAGACTACATATTTTCTGAACTTTTACACCCTGTTTTTCTTCAAAAACTTAATCCTTTTAACAGCACCCAAGCCACCTCTTGAATGCTTTTTTTTGCTTAGAAATTTCCTGCCAGATAGCTAAATCATCTCCCTCAAGTTCGAAGTTTCACAGATGTCTAGGGCAAGGGCAAAATGCCACCAGTCTCTTTGCTAAAACATAGCAAGAGTCACCTTTATTCTAGTTCCCAACAAGTTCCTTATCTCCATCTGAGACCACCTCAGCCTGGATTTCATTGTCCCCATCATTATCAGCATTTTGGTCAAATCCATTCAACAAGTCTCTAGGGAGTTCCAAACTTTCCCACATTTTCCTGTCTTCTTCTGAGCTTTCCAAACTCTTCCAACCTCTGCCTGTTACCCAGTTCCAAAGTTACTTCCACATTTTTGGGTATATTTACAACAACACCTCACTCTACTGGTACCAATTTACTGTATTACTCCGTTTTCACACTACTGATAAAGACATACCTAAGACTGGGTAATTTATCAAGAAAAAGAGGTTTAATGGACTCACAGTTTCACATGGCTGGGGAGGCCTCACAATCATGGTGCAACGGGAAAGGCACATCTTACATGACAGCAGACAAGAGAGAATGAGAGACAAGCAAAAGGGGTTTCCCTTATAAAGTCATCAGATCTCATGAGACTTATTCACTACCATGAGAACAGCATGGGAGACTCTGCCCCCATGATTCAATTATCTCCCACTGGGTCCCTCCCACAACATGTGAGTTATGGGAGCTACAATTTCAGATAAGATTTGGGTGGGACACAGCCAAACCTTATCACGTGTTTTTAAGCATTTTGGGTTTTATGGTCATTTCTGGATTGGGGCTGGTTCAAATGCTGCTCTTTTAGCTGTGGTGTCAGCCAATTGGTTACCCTGACCTTCTGTGTTGTTTAATTTACAGTGATGTGGGATTTTTATGGTTGCCAACTATTTTGGTTTTTGAATAGGTTTTTTTTTTTGAGATGGAGTCTCACTCTTGTCACCCAGGCTGGAGTGCAGTGGCACAATCTCAGCTCACTGCAACCTCCACCTCCCAGGTACAAGCAGTTCTCCTGCCTCAGCCTCCCAAGTAGCTGGGATTACAGGCGCCTGCCACCACACCCGGCTATTTTTGTATTTTTAGTGGAGATGGGGTTTCACCATGTGGGCCAGGCTGGTCTTGAACTCCTGTGATTATGTTAATCATGTGAGGAAACCACAGCATATCCTGCTCCAAAATTTCCATCCTCTCCTCTTCAATAAGAGCGATCTGTATACCATTCTAGTTTCGCATTATCCAGTGGCATCTCTTGTAGGTCTGTCCTGGAGGTGAGAAGTCAGTCAGTCATCAGAACACAGTCACGAGGGGTCTTGTGGGAAGGGCCTGGCAAGAGAGTGGCCGGATTAAGATTATTATACTGGGAAGTAGTAATATTGGAAGATGGTACAAGCAAAATTTGATAAGAAGCTAACTGGTTGACAGACACACGTTGAGTATGATGAGAGTTTAGAAGGGTCTCAAGAGAATGTGGCACAGAAATGGTAAGGGGCGAACCCATAATTATTTCTCCAACAGACTTGTACGGAAGGGCCATGGTTGCTATTGTCTCACACAAGGAGGCAACCCTCGCGCCACCGGGTCCGGGTGTTGGCTGTAATAGCCTAGAGGTCTCTGATGATGACCATGCTTCTGGATCGGTACCCTGGAGGCAGTACCTCCAGTTTCTTGTGTGAAAAGGGAGAAAGGCAGTTTGTAGTTTGGGTGCCCTAAGGCTGGGGCATTAGTTAGAATTTCCTTTATTTGTTGTACAGCTGATTGTCCCTCAGGACTCCACAAGAAAGGATCAGGTTGTACATTTTTTAGGTATGCATACAGAGATTGAGCCATAAGGAAGAAATTTGGTATCCAGTTTTTGTTTGTTTGTTTGTTTGTTTTGAGATGGAGTCTTGCTCTGTCGCTCAGGCTGGAGTACAGTGGTGCGATCCCAGTTCACTGCAAGCTCCACCTCCTGGGTCCACACCATTCTCCTGCCTCAGCCTCCTGAGTAGCTGGGACTACAGGTGCCCACCACCATGCCTGGCTAGTTTGTTTGTATTTTTAGTAGAGACGGGGTTTCACTGTGTTAGCCAAGATGGTTTCAATCTCCTGACCTTGTGATCCGCCCACCTCGGCCTCCCAAAGTGCTGGGATTACAGGCGTGAGCCACCGCGCCCAGCCACTGGTATCCAGTTTCTACAATAGCCAGGCAGGACCCAGAATCCTCTAAGTTGTTTGTGACAGGCATTGGGAAAGCTAAAATTCCTCTCACTCTGTCAGGGTTAATACTCAGTCCTTTGACTGAGATAATATGCCCCCAAATACTTAACTTGCAGCAAGCATAGCTGAAGTTTGTCTTTGGACACTTTGTGTCCCTTGGTGGCTGTTTGAGTAAATAGACTATCTTCATGGGAGGAAGATGGTGTGTCTGAACAAAGGAGAAGGTCATCTACATACTGAATGAGTGTTGAGCCCTGGGGAAAAATTAAATCCTCTAAATCGGCTTTTAATATTTGGGAAAAGTAAGTGGGACTTTCTGTATACCCTTGATTCAGTACAGTCCACATATATTGCCCTTCTTTCCAAGTAAAGGTAAACAAATACCGGCTGTCTGGATCTACAGGAATACTAAAGAAGGCACGGCAGAGATCTGCAGCTGAGAAATACTGGCTGGCAGTGGGTGTAGCTGATAGAAGGATATGTGGGTTGGGGATTATTGGGTGTCTGGGTATTGCGATATTACCTACTGTCCTCAAGTCCTGTACAAATGTCCATCCCCTCTGGCTTGTTTATTTTGTTTTTGTTTTTACAGGGAATATAGGGCTGTTGTGGGGCTTGTGCAGGGAATAGTGAGTCTCCTTCTCAGTTAATCTTGTATGGTAGGGGCGATTCCATCTATAACTTCCTGTCATAGAGGATACTGTTTAAGGTTGGGGAGGGGTTTCTTCGGGTTTATCGCTACCTTTATTGGAGTGGCTGAGAATATTTTCCCTGTATCTGTATTTGACTGAGACTGTAAGTGGGAAGGGACATCCTTAAGCAAATGCTTCACTTCTGGAGTTAACAGGAAGACTGGGGAAGCTAAGTTTTACTGTTTTCTGCTCTGTATTCCAATGTTCTCTCTTCTCTTCTAGTATTTCCTTCTCTCTCATTTCCCTTTCCCAGTCACAAGATGGTGTCTTAACATTACTAGTACTAAATCGTGGTGCATTGTCAGGACTTGTTTTTTCTTTTCGAGATGGAGTCTCCTGCTGTCGCCCAGGCTGGAGTTCAGTGGCACAACTTTGGCTCACTGCAACCTCCACCTCCCAAGTTCAAGTGATTTTCCTGCCTCAGCCTCCCAAGTAGCTGGGATTACAGGCATGCGCTACCACACCCAGCTAAGTTTTGTATTTTCACTAAAGACGAGGTCTCACCATGTTGGCCTGGCTGATCTCCTAACCTCATGTGAGCCACCTGCCTTGGCCTCCCAAAGTGCTGGGGTTACAGGCATGAGCGACTGTGTCTGGCTGTCAGGATGTTTTTTAATTTGATATTGTTAGTCCCTGGCTCCAATTCTAGAAAAAGTTCACCTTTCGATGAAAAAGAGATATGAGCATTATGGATGTTGAGGAGATCACAGCCCAAAAGACTGACAGGGGCTGCAGGCACATTAGAAACACAAGGGACCAACTGAGCATGTCACACTTGGAGCCCAGGGCGGGGGATCTGAACCCAAAGAAACGGGAAGGTTTAGGTTTAGACGTAAAACATGAGATAGTTTTATAGACACACCACCTTGTTCATTCTTTCATTACTCTGAGGTATGGGGTTTCTAAATTAGGTGGGATTTATAATAGATATAGTCACTGCCTGTGTCAATTCAGGCAGTTGTAAGCTCATGGTTTATCATTATGTTAACAATGATAAACATGTTTTTTTATAATATATATAATATAAAACATAATATCTATAATAAAGATAAACATATAAATCTCTCCCAATTTGTCAGGGTAGAATATTTGGAGCAGTGAAACCCCTGTACTTCCTGGGAGCATCCCTAGTCTTCCTGAGTCACATTTCTTGCCTTTTCTTTCATTTCAACCTAATGCGATCCCTGTTAAGGTGTCCTGGTCTTTTACAGTAGTAACAGACTGGGAGGGAAGAGTCCTCAGACCTAAGAGCTTAAAATCTTTCTGGGCCTGAGATGTTTGAAAAGTTAATTGCTTTAACTGTAATGCATAACTTGGGCAATCTTTATTAGTTTTTCCTTTTTATCACAGTGCAGGATAATTGGTCAGCTAAGTTAACTAGTTCATTAGTTCTGGCTGTGGCCCAATTTATCATGTTGCATTTTTATAAGGGTGGCTAAATCATCACCTAGTCTAAGAAATTTGCATTTAATAATGTAGCATTTGTATTGTTTTCATAGCAATCAGCTGACATCCCGCAATATTGTCTAAAAGTTTTATCAAAACGTGTGAAATAATCTAAAACTGATTCATTTGGGTTCTGGCAGCATTGTTGTATTTTATTCCAATCCACAGCCCTTTGGGACACTGAAGGAATGATATTTAACAGAACAGTAGTTAGTTCCTGAGCATCTTTGCACCTGTCTTCAGGATTCTGGGAGGCTGGTTCTTTTGGTCTTCCTGGCCCTTTAGGGGTCAGGTCTGCTACAATGTCTGACCACTGTGTTTTTCCAGCCACTTAGCTTTAGCTTCTGAGACCAGTATGTGGACCATCTGATAAAGGTCTGAATGACCTGGGTCATAGGTTCTGATAATCAGCTCAAACTCTTGAGCAAACCCAATTGGATCTTACAGGAGGCAGGAAATTGTGCTTCGCAACTCAGCCGTTGACCAGGGTTCATAGACAATCACGGGGGTTCCCCTGTTAACGGTTGTTCCCGAAACAGGTTGATCATGAGTGAAGTCCCTATGGTGTCCCCCTTTTCCACATCTTCCAGATAAGAGGCTGCCAGTGGGGTTACCAGAGAATCGGCAGGAAGTAGGGTCTTGGAAGTTAGAGTCCCTCCTGCCTTCGGTTCAGTGAGTGGCAGGCAAGGAGGAGAATATGGTAGATTGGAACCTGAAGGAAAAGGAGGGGAGAGGTCTGATCCAGGAAGTTCAGAGGGGTAAGGGTAGAGTGGGGGTGTAGGTGGAGGTAGGGGAGGCACTAAGGGGGAAGGGATTTGGAGGATTTCTTTAAGAGAGATAAAAGATGATAGAGAGTTCTTATTTGGCAGTTTAAGTTATTTGCTGGCTTCCTGTAGCTACTTTCATGGTACCTAGAGAATAGCAAGTGGGGGGAAGATCCTTTAGGTATGCATAGAGAGATTTGGTATTCTCCAGGTACCATGAAAGTAGCTCTCCCATTCTGGTTTCTTAGTTTTTGTGCCCACGTTTTCCATTCTGGTTTGTGGGCACACTAAATTGGGCATCTCAAGAGAGCCCCATTTAGGCCTTTGTAACTTGGAATTTACTTTGGTTATAGTGGTCCACTTGGTTAAATATTTGCATGACGATTTGCCATAAGTATTTTGCGTGTACCCTGCAGGAGTTTCTAAAGGTGGAACTTCATGTTCCTCAGCTGCTGGGGTTTTAGCTAATTTAGAGGCCTCATTCCCTATAATTTAAGGTTCCCCTTCGGATTCAATCAAGTTGGGAAGTGTGTGAGACCCAAAGTGTGTTGCTTGGGGACCTGGCTTTTCAGGGCCATTATTCCTTGAATCATTATTCCTTGAATCAGTTCAGCTCACCCTTGTCGCAGCTACCTGGTAAAGTATGTCAGGGGCTCCAGGTGTGGGAGGGGTCAGCTCCTTATATGGACCCACCAGATGAGCTTAGACCTTAAGTACGTTCTTCTGAGGGAACCAGATGAGATTAGACCTTAAGTATGTTCTTCTGAGGGAACCAGATGAGATTAGACCTTAAGTACGTTCTTCTGAGGGAACCAGATGAGATTAGACCTTAAGTACGTTCTTCTGAGGGGAAACCAGATGAGATTAGACCTTAAATACGTTCTTCTGAGGGAAACCAGATGAGATTAGACCTTAAATACGTTCTTCTGAGGGAAACCAGATGAGATTAGACCTTAAGTACGGTCTTCTGAGGGTAACCAGATGAGATTAGACCTTAAGTACGGTCTTCTGAGGGGAACCGGCTCAAAGCTGCTGCACGTCCTAAGGAGCTTTCCTCCCAGACACCTTCACATGATTCTCAGTCACCTGAGAATGCCCTGAAGGGCTGAGGGGAGTAAAGTGCTCTTATTTCCTTAGAAAATTCCACACTCATAAGCTAGAGGGTTTGGAATTGGTCAAATCCGGTAGCGGAAAGGATTGAAACACACACACAACTCAACAAGATGGAAACAACAAAACAGCTAAGCAAAACTAACAATGATCACACAACTTACATGATTTCTGAGCACTCAAGTGTAAGCAGAAATTAACAACAGCGGGTTGTTAATGCTAACTTTAGTCATTTAAAAAGAATTTGTAAGACAAAATCCCAAACCAGTTCCTTACCTAGTGATAGGAGCCCAAGCTGAACAGTGCTCTCCACAGATGCAGAAGCAGACAGGCTGCCTTCCTTGATGGAAGCGAGTGGAAACTCCCAGGAAAAAAGGAGATTTTTTTTTTTTTTTTGAAGAGCAAATAAACCTCTGACCCCCAACTGAAAAACACTGGAAGATCAGGGATCCCTGGAAAAAAGAGGTCCCAGACTTCAGCAAATTGTCCTATTGGTTTAGGCTACAAGGTGCCCAGACCAGTGCCAAGCACCAATGGGAGAGCTGCGACAGGCTGGGCCACCTTCACTCAGGTTCCCTTAGTGGTTACCAGATGTCAATCGAGAAAAATGATGAGACCAGTCTCAATCATTTTAGGAGGCTTATTTGCCAAAGGTAAGGACTCGTGCCTGGGAGACAGGTCTATACCTTTCTCCAAAGATTATTTTGAGGGCTCCAAATGTAAAGGGGAAAGGGTGGGATATTGAGAAGTACACAAATTTCAAATAAGAGGAGGGTAGGGGAAAATAGCCATTTTCTTCGTCTGGTTCAGTGAATCTGCATTTTTTTTTTTAACATAAGATGACAGACAAATGGGGCAGAGGAATCTGCATTATTACATAAGGTAACATAGACAAAACATAACAAAAGGGCAGGGGAACAATCAGATATGCATTTGAATCCGGTAGGCAGGGGATGACTGCACCTGTAAAGATAAGCTATTTACATTACCATGGCAAAATGTTAACAGAAACACCTTAGGGGAGAAATCTTGGCGCTCACCAGGAATTTCCTTGTGGGCAAAATATGGGGGAGGTGTGTATCTTCATCTTGTAGCCCTCTTATTTAGGAACCAAAAGGGGAGGCAGGTTTGCCTGACCCACTTCCCAGCTTAACTTTTCCCTTTGGCTTAATGAGTTTGGGGTGGCAAGATTTACTTTCCTTTCACAGTATGTAAGCCCTGGGTCTGGGGGAGCACTGGGTCTGGGGGGGCCCTGGGCCTGGGGGTGATGGTTAGGAATCCACCATCTTGTCTCACCACTGCCAGACACACAGATGTGGCTTCTGTTCATAAGTCCCTATTAAATGTTTCTCTCTAAAGAACTAGATTTGCCAGCCTCTTTGGCCTCTCAGCTTCCTCTGACTTTGGGGCAGATTTGTATAGGCCTGGCCACTGAGGAACAATCACTAACCATTAGGAAAATGCAAATCAAAACCACAATATCATTTTATACCTACCAGGATGACCATAATACAAGGCTGTGAGAGGAAGGTATCTGGGGTCCCTTCAACCTGCCTCCCATTCTCATCAAAGTCATCCCTCTGCTCACTGAGACAGATGCACAGCTGACTGCCTCCTTTGGAAAGGCTGATCAGAAACTCACAAGAATGCAACTGTTCATCTCTCACCTATGTGTGACCTGGAGGCCCCCTTCCCTTTGAGTCTTCCTGCCCTTGCTTCAAGTTGTCCCGCCTTTCCAGACCGAACCAATGTTCTTCTTACATATACTGATTGATGTCTCATGTCTCCCTAAAATGTATAAAACGAAGCTGTGCCTGACCACCTCGGGTGCATGTTATCAGGACCTCCTGGGGCAGTGTCACGGGTGCATCCTCAACCTTGGAAAAATAAACTTTCTAAATTGAGACCTGTCTCAGATTTTCGGGGTTCACGAGGTACATAAATAACAAGTAAGGGCAAGAATGTGGAAAAATTGAAACCCTCATTGCTGGTGAGAATGTAAAATGGTGTAGCCACTTTGGAAAACAATTTGGCAATACTTAAAAATGTTAAACCACATGAAAACTGAAGTCCACACAAAAGCTTGTAAATGAATGTTCATAGCAGCATCACTCATAATAGTCAAAAAATGCAAACAACCCAAATGTCAATCAACTGATGGATAAAATGTAGTATATCCATATAATGGAATAGTTTTTAATTTTTTTGTTTTATTTATTTAATGAAATATTCATCAGCAATAAAAAAGAACTAGCTGCTGCTGTCTGCTCTAATGTGGACCTTGAGAACATTGTTAAATGAAAGCAGTCACAAATGACTCCATGTTTTGTGTTTCCATCCATACGAAACGTCTAGAACAGGTAAATCTATAGAGGCAGAAAATAGATTAGTGGTTGCCAGGGTCTGAGGGAATGGAAGTGGGAAATGACTCTTTATGGGTATAGGGTTTCTTTTCGGGATGGTAACATTCTCCTAAAATTAGATTGTGGTATTGGTTCCACAACACTGAAAAACCACCTCACCTTAAACTGGTGAATTTTATAGCACATGGATTAGATCTCAACAAAAACTTTTATTGAAGAAAGATTTATCTGGAGATGGAGAGTGGTGATGGTTGCATAGTATGAATATACTTAATGTCCTTAAACATTAAGGTGATAAATCTTGTTATAAATAACAATAAAAAATGAGTTTCAATAAATTATTTGGGGACATTTGTGTCTTATGCCTCAGCTTGGAACAACTCTCCTGTGAATAAAATGCTTGTGATGTGTTAAGCAACTGTGTTTATATCTGACATGAGTGACTTCCAAAATGACGGTAAGGAATTTTTTAGTAGTCAATAGCCTGACCTTAATAAGGGTTCAGATTTCTCTGGCGTGTACCTTGTGCCAATGAAGTACAGGATATTTTGTTTTTTCGTCCCATCTCACGGATGAGGAAACTGAAGTTTATTGAGATAACTTATGCAAGGCACAGAGGAACCTGAACACACCGTTATGTAACTAAAACCCTCACTGTTAACCACTATGCTTATATTCTGTGCCTCTCTGCTTTACTTAATTATAAAATGAAAGGGATTTAGATGATCTCTAATATCCTACTAACCTGAAATTCTTGTTTCATTACAAGAAAGCATTTCGTATATAATTGGGAAATATTCTGTATTATGTAAAAAGTTTAATCTGGCAGTGAGCTGCACTTGTGATTCTATTTAAATTGTGGGTGCGTATTATCAAAGCACCTTATAGTGCTGTGTCCCAGAGGAAACCAAACATGGAACCCATTTCAATCCCCAGGCCAGCAGGCTCCTCAGACTGCAGTTGTCACCATGCCACAGCCCATCTGAGACACCACAGCATCTGCATAGTGATTTTTTGTTGTCATTGTTTTTGAGATGGAGTCTCACTCAGTCCCCCAGGCTGGAGTGAAGTGGTGCGATCTCAGCTCACTCCATCCCCCGGGTTCAGCCTCCCGAGTAGCTGGGATTATAGGCGCGCGGCACCACGCCCAGGTAATTTTTTGTATTTTTAGTAGAGACGGGGTTTCACCATGTTGGTCAGACTGGTCTTGAACTCCCGACCACAGCCGATCCACCGGCCTCGGCTTCCCAAAGTGCCGGGATTACAGGCCTGAGCCACCGCGCCCGGGCATGATTTGTTGTAAATTTGTCATCCAAAGGACCACCAGGATGGCTAGATAGTAGACAAGAGTTTTACTGTCAATGTCAGTTTGCAAACCAGGGGGAGTCTCTAACATGAACCCAAAGGGCTCTCTCAGAAGAACAGAGATTAGAGGTTTTATTTTAAAAAGAGAAATATTAACTTATTTCTCTTGGAGAAAGTTCATAGGCACTAGTAAGGGTCTGGGGAGCGAAGCCAGGGGAGCCAGATCAGTCCTGGAGGTGCAAGTTATGCTGAAGCTATGGAATAAAACTGGCTTCAGGTCGGGCGCGGTGGCTTCCTCCAGTAATTTCAGCGCTTTGGGAGGCCGAAGCGGGCGGATCACTTGAGGTCAGGGGTTCGAAACCAGCCTGGCCAACATGGTTAAACCCCGTCTCTGCTAAGTACAAAAAACACTAGCCGGGCTGGCGCCTGTAGTCCCAGCTTACGGGGAGGCTGAGGCAGGAGAAGCGCTTGAACCCGGGAGGCGGAGGCTGCAGTGGGCCGAGATCACGCCACTGCACTCCAGCCTGGGCGACAGAACGAGACAACGTCTCAAAAAAAAAAAAAAAAAAAAAAAAATTTTTTTTTTCTTTATAAAAAGACAAAAACTCTGGTTTCGGGTTACAACAGGCAGCTCAGCAGCCGGCCTGATGGTGACGTTCCTCAAGGACGGCCTGGCCAGTGCTTCCCCCACCCCGCTGCTCGGCTCTGCTGTGGCTGGGTATGGCAACAACGACACGTTTTTATGGTCAAGTTTCACACGAACCGTCTCGCTAACACACAGCACAAACGATGACCCGAAGCAGACACCAGAAAGGAAAAAAACGAGCCGCAGTGCCGGGCGGGCATTCCGGGCCTTTCTGAAGACGTCCCCATCCGTGGCTGGAGGACAGCCCGGGCGGCGGCGGGCGGCCTCGGGGCGGGTGCGTCGGGGCAGGGTACGGCGAGCCCGGGGCTTCCCAGGACCGCCAGGCCGCCTGGACGCTGGGGAGGAATCCCCACTCCGACGCCTGCTAGGAGGGCACCGACCGCGCTCCACTGTGGCCAGGTCGCCGCCGCTCCGGCCGGCCAACGACAAGCTAGCGCGGCGCCTGTGCGCGCGTGACGTCAGCACGCACGGCGCCAGCCTGTGCGCAGGACGTCAGCACGCACGGCGTCGGTACGTGCGCGCCCAGAGGTTCCGCGCGGCGGCAGTGCCAGCGGAGCTTGCGGGTGCGGGTGGGACCGGGTTTCGTCTGTGGGCCCGGGGGCGGCGGGGGCCGCGGAGTGAGGGGCCGGCTGAGCCCACCACCTCGCTGGGCCCTCCCTGGCGCCCGGCCTCGGGCGGCGGCGAGCGCTCGGGTCGCCATGTCGTACATGCTCCCGCACCTGCACAACGGCTGGCAGGTGGACCAGGCCATCCTCTCGGAGGAGGACCGCGTGGTCGTCATCCGCTTCGGCCACGACTGGGACCCCACCTGCATGAAGATGGACGAGGTCCTGTACAGCATCGCCGAGAAGGTAGCGCGCCGGGCCCTCCCGCCCTGCTGGCTGTGCTTCCGCAGCGGCCCCGCGCCTCTGCCCCGCCGGCCTCGCCTGGGGATGCCGTTCCCCGAGGAGGGGCCGCGGCGCGGTCGTCCGGGCGATTCCTTCCCGCGCTGCGGGCGAGCGCTCTCGGGGACTGTGCCGGCGTTTGGCGCCTTTTTCTGCAGGGAGCTCCTGTAGTTCACATTTTAAAGGGTTTATGATCCCCCTCCCCTCAAAGGAATTCATTATTTCTGTTGATATAGGCGTTTTTCCCAAACTTACAGTGCAGTGGACAAAATCCACTTGCAGGTTTTGAGAGCGCGGATCCTTAATTTAAAAGGATGCCTTTTTTTGGTACCTTATTTGTTTGTTGTATGTGTAAAGCAGAACTTTCATGTTAATAGCATAAGAAATCCTGTTTTTTGTTGGTGTCGTTTTCTTCCACCACGCTTTTTGTAAGTCAGGTGATTTATAGCTTAGAGTGATTAAGATGCAGAAAACATCGGGAGAAAATAGAAATATGCTTTGTTGGAACTAGTTTTCTGAATTTCTAATATTAGTACATTGAGTGATCTTGGCACTTACTTGCTGACAATAAAAGTTGTGGGACACTATTTTATAACCAGGTTTCATTCTTTTTCTGTGGTTCCTCACAGCAATTTTAGGATGGCGTTTATTTAGGTTTCGCAGCTGTAACAATAGGGCAAAGGGCACAAATACTAGGGTGTTAATAAAGTATTTGCCATATTAATTTCCCGTAAGTAATTTGAGCGGTTATTCATTTTAATGAAGAGTAAAAGTGACATTCAAGCTATCTTTTCTTTCACAGATGCTAAAGTAGGCTGGGTTAAAATAACTCCTTTGAGTAAAGAGTAACAGATATAAAGACATTTTATATTGAGGAAAAGGAAAGACTGACTTGCCATTTATTAATTCTTGCTATTTCTTATTTAGTAGGAGAGGCGTGATGTTAGGAACTGTTGTTATATTTTAGTTATTACAAGAATCTCTTGGAGTGCTAAAATGCATCTGTGATTCTGAGTCTATGGGTGTGGGGTGAAGTCCAGCAATGGCTTTTTAAAGAAGCCCCTCAGGGAATTCTGATGTGACCTGACCTTGAACCACACACTCAGAAACCCTTCCATGGGGGTCAGGGACAGAGGCGGAGTGCTTTATTACCAGCCATCTCCCAGCCTCTTCCTCTTGGACACCAGGACACTGAGGACTTGAGCTGCCTAGGGAATCAGGAGAGCAGCAGTTCTCTCACACTGGGGCTTCTGCCAGCCAGGGATTAGAGATGATGAGCGAGGCAGTGCCAGCACATCAGCTTTTCATTGCTTGACTTGTAGTGGACAAGGGCAGATACTGGAAATCCAGCGAAGAATTGACGAAGAGCAGTTTCCAAATAAGTAAATCACTGCTTGTAAATCATTGACTTTGAGTTACGAGTTCTAGAATCTTTCACTGTTCTACCTTGCAGGTGGTGGCATAAACATCAGCTGGTGTTCAGATCCTGCTGCCGGCAGCTCGAGGCTAGGATGGCTGGCGATGTGAGGGCCTTTGTCTCATCACATCCAGGCAGAGCCCAGCAAGATGCTCTTAGCTAGGAAACAGATTTTATGTGTTAATGTAAGTGTTTAGGGTCTTTGCCAGATTTGCTCTTTTTTTCCAATTCCTTTATGTCCAGTTTCTTTGTTATTACCGAATGAATCACTGTATCACTAGTGGACACGCACTTAAGGACAGTTGAAATGGGCTCACTTTGGGGTATTTTTTTTTTATCTTTTAAAATAGTTTGATTTTTGTTTTTGTCCAAAAATTTGGATTGCTTTATTAATAAACTTTTAATGCAAATATTATAGTATAATTATCAAAAGCGCAAACCTAGGCCAGGCACGGTGGTTCATGTCTGTAATCCCAGCACTTTGGTTGGGAGGCTAGTGTAGGCAGATCACTTGAGCCCAGGAATTCGAGACCAGCCTGGACAATATCGTGAAACCCGTTCTCTACTAAAAGTACAAATGCCAGACGTGATGGCACGTGCGTGTAGTCCCAGCTACTTGGGAGGCTGAGGTGGGAGAATCACCTGAGCCCGGGAAGTCAAGGCTGCAGTGAGCCATGATTATACCACTGAACTCCAGCCTGGGCAACAGGAGTGAGACCCTTTCTCCAAAAATAAGTGCAAACCTGAAATGCATTAAAAGACTATTCATGTTTTATTTTCTTCTTAGTATATGGGCAAAATATGACTTTCTAATTCTGGAAGCTCTTTTTGGGGAAACTCAACAGAAATTTTTGAAATGTAAGATTTTAGTATAAAGAACAATATAACTATTTAAAAATTTCCCTGTGCAGAAATGGCAGATAATGGAGAATCTTCCTTATGTTGTTATGAGTCCTGTCTGGATATCCCAGCTGTTTTAAAGTGAGTAACAGTTGCAGATGTTCGGCTGGACTTGATACGATTTTTCCTAGATGTGTTATATTGATCTGCTGCTTCCACAAGGCCCACTGGCCTCATGCTGGGTTAGAGTTGAGCTGTAAACTTCCGGAAGAAAGTTAGTCTGGAAACACAGCTACACTTAAATATTTCACAGGTGCCTAGAGTTTGCTAATAAGTGTGGGGCAATTCATTTGATAAAGTGATCATAATAAAGAAAGTTTTCAGCTGGGCACTGTGTCGCACGCCTGTGGTCCTAGCACTTTGGGAGGCTGAGGTGGGTGGTTCCCTTGAGCCCAGGAGTTTGAGAACAGCCTGGGCGACATGGTGAAACCTTGTCTGTGCAAAAAGTGCAAACGTTAGCTGGGCGTGGTGGACTGCGCCTGTGGTCTCAGCTACTCAGTAGGGCAAGACGGAAGGGTGTGAGTCCAGGAGTTCAAGGCTGTGATAAGCTGTGATCGCGCCACTGCATGCCAGCCTGGGTGACAGAGCGAGACCCTGTCTCAAAAGAAAAAAAGAGTTTTCTATTTAGCAGCTGATTTTATGCAGTTTTGAAGCCAGACAATTTCGCGTACCTTTGAGCTGTCTTTCCATTTTGTAGGGACACTGTCACAGCAGTGCTTTGGGGTTCACGGTCACCTAAATCCCATGATGGGTGAGAAAACTGAATGGGATATTTAAGTTTTGTGTTAAAAAGCCCACGCAGATAGAGTTTAAAGTAGCGTCAGTGAGCTGGGCACTGTGGCACGTGCCTGTAACCCCAGCTACTCAGGAAGCTCAGAGGGGAGATGAGCTCAGGAGGTCAAGGCTGCGGTAAGCTATCATCGTGCCACCCTGGGTGACAGAGCGAGACCCCATCTCTAAAAACAAAACAAAAAAATTCCTCAGTAATATTGACTCATGATAGTACTTTTTTTTTTTTTTGAAACAAGAGTCTTTTTGTGTTGTCCAGGCCGGAGTGCAGTGGCACGATCTTGGCTCACTGCAACCTCAGCCTCCTGAGTAGCTGGGACTACAAGCCTGCACCACCACCACCACACCCTGCTAATTTTTGTATTTTTAGTAGAGATGGGGTTTTGCCATATTGGCCAGGCTGGTCTCAAACTACTGGCCTCAAGTGAGCCAGTCACCTTAGCCTCCCAAAATTCTGGGATTGCAAGTGTGAGCCACCATGCCTGGCCCATGATAGTATATTCAAATAAATTGTGTATCAGGCAGATGTATATTTATGGAACTTCATAGGAGCCATATTAGGGGGTCTATCTTAAGTATCACATTAAGGATCACAGAATGCCCATTGAACCAGTGAGAGTCAACACTCAGCTAGATGAGGAATCTTGTAGAAACAAACAGAATGGACATTTTTGGTGTTTCCTCTGGATTTTTGTCTCTGGATAAAAAACAGCCTTGTAAAAAAAAAAAAAAAAAAAAAAAAACAGCCTTGTAGCTAGTAACAAAGTATGAGGGGTGGTAATGAGCGGTGGTTGAGGGTGCAGACTCTAGCTAGGCTCTTGGCACTTCATAACTGCATGAGCGTTACGAACTTGGCTCTGCGTGTCGTCTTACCTGTGTAGAGGGGATACTCGCGCCTAACTCATTGGGTTGTAGTGGATTAATAAAGGTTTCTAGAGCACTCCTGTCACATAGGCAGTAATGCCACTGTTACTACTATGATTACTTCTCTCACATTACTACGTTTGCAAGAGTTATTGTGAGAGCTGATTAAGGCAAACATTAATTTTAGAAAATCAAGTTATTCAGGTTTTTTATGGCTTTGACATGAATTACCTAAAAATGTAAAAATCAACACTTTGAAAATTTGTTGTGCTAACAACTACCCAGAACACTTTTTCCAGAACTTTAGGTATTTTCTTAGCTGGTTGAGGGACTCCATACCAAAGTGTAGAGCAGTGGTTGGTGTCCTGTGCCAGCCTTTAGCCGTGTGTTTTGTGGAGTTATTTCGTTGTAACTTGGCAGGGGGCCTTAGAGGCATGTGAAAGAACTGCCGAGCACTTTAATTGCTGACTTGCCTAAAGAAGAAGCTTACGAGGTGTGTAGGCAAGAGAGTTGGAAAAGATACTTAAAATTATAGGGAATCAAAGAATTTAAAAATAATTTGAGGCCAGCGCGGGGGCTCACACCTGTAATCCCAGCAGTTTGGGAGGCCGAGGCAGGCGGATCATCTGAGGTCAGGAGTTTGAGACCAGCTTGGGCAACATGGCAAAACCCCATCTCTACTAAAAATACAAAACTTAACCGGATGTGGTGGTGGGCGCCTGTAATCCCAGCTACTCGGGAGGCTGAGGTGGGAGGATCTCTTGAGGCTGGGACACAGAGGTTGCAGTGAGCCAAGATCATGCCACTGCACTCCAGCCTGGGTGACGAAGTGAGCCCCGTCTAAAAAAGAAAAGAAAAAGCTGCCTTTGTTGAGGAAGTCACAGGATGACTTGGCAGAGCAGTGTGGCTGCACTCACCCAGCTCCTCCAAGTGCTTGACTACCGTGGAAATGTCGCCACCAGCAGGTGCTGCTGGATGTTTGCTGATGTTTGCCCTCAGCGCGTGCTCCTCCAGTCACGCCACAGATGCCATTTCACCAAGAAAAGAGGGGGTGAGGGCCGGGGAGCTCCCCTCTACCTGCCCCTTCCAGCCTCTCCTGTCTCACCTCCCGAGTCCCACAGCAACATCCCTCTCTCTCCATAGCCACGCCTCTTGAAAGCTGTCCACACTGAAGACCTCTGTTCCTCAGTCCTTCAGCCCTTCAGTATCCCCGTCCCATCCCGTCCCCTCTGGCAACCTCTCTGGGGCACTCGGCACAGCTTCCGGGAGTCTCCTGCCTTAGTTTCTGAGGCTGCCTCCTTGGCATCCCTTTCCTGCCCCCAACTCTACAGCGGGCATCTGTGCTCACTCCCAGGCCTTTCCTGGCACCTGCCGCCCTGGCTGGGGTCACTGCTGGATGTAGGTGGCGGCGGTAAGGTAGCTCTCTCCAGCCCAGACTCCTTTGTGCAGCTCCAGGCCAGTCACTCCCTGGAGGGCCTTTTTCTCTGGATGTCCCTTAGTTTTCTCAAACTCAGTGTGTACAAAACTGAACCCTTCAATCCCTGCTTTCTTAGAAGTAAATACATGGCCCAGAATCCCAAGCAGTAAAGGTCCTCTGTGGGCCAGTCCACCTGCGCATCTGTCCCCACCGTCCTGCACCTCTGCTGCCTTGCCCTGGTGCCAGATCTGAGACCTGGCTGCTGTTCTTGTGTCTTTCTCTTTACACATGGAATTCTCTGAGGACGTATTTTCCCTGCCACCCCATAACCATGCCACTGCCCCGTCTCCTGTGGGTAGGCTAATTCTGTCATGGCTTGGTGGAGGATCTGTCATCCGGAGTTCAGGCTTTGGAGCCAGACAGGGTGCATCTTAGCTCTGCCCCTTCCCCATGCAGTGGTTGGGCATCACTCACGTGACCTTTCTGAGCCTGAATTCCATTGCCTAAACCATCAGTGACGTCTATTTAGAGGTGTAGAATCCATGAGTGAGAAGTGCCTCCTACATAGTGGATTCTCAAGTAAATGTTCATGAAACTGGTCTGTGGTGAAATCAGGGGATATTCAAATTCTCATGGCACATGAGCTTTATGTGGTAGTTTGCTTCTGTTAGAATTCTCGGGGTTAGATGCAGTGGGCCGGAGCCTGAAGGCAAAAGGAGAGTCACATTTGTATCTTTAAAGGTTTAAAGTTACGTTTACTCAGTTGCCCTCGATGATTATTGTTTTTGTTGTTATTTTGAGAAGGAGTCCCGCTCTGTCCTTCAGGCTGGAGTGCAGCGGCATAATCTCAGCTCACTGCAATCTCCACATCCTGGATTCCAGTGATTCTCCTGTCTCAGCCTCCCAAGTAGCTGGGATTACAGGCATGCACCGCCACACCCAGCTAATTTTTGTATTTTTAGTAGAGACAGGGTTGCACCGTGGTGGCCAGGTTGGTCTCGAACTCCTGACCTCAGGTGATCCGCCTGCCTCAGCCTCCCAAGGTGCTGGGATTACAGGCGTGAGCCACCACGCCCGGCCCTGTGCTCTGCTTATTAAATGCCTACAAATTATTAAAAACCACAGATGGTTACAATATTTACTATTTTTTATGTGCAAGAAAAGAGATGATAAAAATTTTGTTGTGACCTTTCTTTTTTCTAAAGTACACAATTTACAACCCTGTCCAAATGATATTTATTATTTGCATGGTGATTCCATAAGTTAATGTAATGTTACTGGTATTTACTGTATCTGTCCCTGAGCAAGGCATTGAAGGGATAAAAATGAAATATTATTTTGACTTTCCTAATGCCTGTGACTGTTTATTTTGTTGGTGTATTTATTTTAGCTTCTGTAGGGAAGTATTTTAAGTCAAACCAAAAGACAGTTTATTAGTTTACCATGAAAATAAAGCCGGTTTCTGGCAACCTGACCAACACGTTCTCACCTGGGCACTGCAGGAAACCAGAGTTTCAGAAATGGGCGATGTCAGAGTGACTGTACTCAGAGGGGCCCGTGTCTAATGCAGGCGTCACTTTGGCATTTTGAAAGCACATGGACGGCAAGGTGCACGCTCCTGCAGTGGGCCGTGGGCCGGAGTTCTGAAACGGTTTTCTTCACCAAAGCTGAAGGGCGGTGGAGTCCGTGTGAAGTGTGGGCTTTCTCACTGCCCGTCTCCCCACCCTGCTCCATGGTTTACATTTCCATCTTAATGTTTTAAAAATATTTCCTAAAGTAGAGAATAGAGTGAACCCTCTGTTCCTATTGTTTGACTTCAACAATTGCTGGTATTTTGCTGGTCTTGTGTTTTCTAACCCCTCATTTTTTTAGGCTGCATGTTTCATGCAAATCCCGGATATCATTATTTCACCTGCAAGTTACAGTCAGGTTGTCAGAATTAGTTTTGTATGAGGAAATGCTGTGCATATCCCATTGGTTTCCTGTGACTGCTGTGACAGGACGCTGCAAGCCGAGGGACTTTAAACAACAGGAGCTTGTCTCACAGTCTGTGCACCAGAGCCCAGAATCAAGCTTGTCTCACAGTCCGTGCACCAGAGCCCAAAATCGAGCTTGTCTCACAGTCCGTGCACCAGAGCCCAGAATCGAGGTGTTTTCCATGCTGGGCTCTCTCTGAACCCGCCAAGGAGAGTCCTCGTATTTCCTGCAGTTTCTGGTGCTGCCAGCAGCCTCTTGCAGCTCCTAGGCTTGTAGACGCCTCTACAGTCCTCGGTGCCACCAGGGCCTCCTGTCCCTGTGTCTTCATGGCGCCATTTTCCTGTAAGGACACCAGTCACACCAGATTAGGGGCCCCCCTACTCCAGTATGACCTCATCGCTTACCGTTTCCAAATTAGCCATGCTGTCAGTACTGGGTTTAGGACTTCAACTGTTTTGGGGACATAGTTTAACTCGTAACACATATAAGTGACTACAAGCTTCTAAAGGGCATTGAATTAGTATTTATAAAGAGCCTTTAAAATGTCATATCCTTTGTTCCAGAATTTTAGGAATTTGTCCTTAGGAAATAATGAAGTATGTATACAAATTTAAGGGGGAAAATATTCACAGGTGAATAACTGATATTAATGAAAAATCAGAGAGTAACAGAAGAATGGTGTAGGAGGCTCTTCTCGCATTGCTATAAAGAAATACATGAGACCGGGTAACTTATGAGAAAAGAGGTTTAATTGGCTCACAGTTCTGCAGGCTGTACAGGAAGTGTGGTACTGGCATTTGCTTCTCGGGAGGCCTCAGGACCTTCCAATCATGGCAGAAGGCAAAGGGGAACAGGGACGTCGCACGGTGAAAGCTGGGGTGGAATGTCACACACTTAAACAACCTCAGCTCATTACCCCAAGGACATCACCAAGAGGATGACGCTCAACCATTGATGAGAAATCCATCCCATGATCCAGTCCCCTCCCACCAGGCCCCACCTGCAACCCTGGGAGTTGGGTTTCAACCTGAGATTTGGGTAGGGACAAATCTCCAAGCTATATCAAATGGTGAAGTAATGGCATAGCCACTCGATGAATCATGCAGCCACAAAAGTTTTCCGTTTTTGGAAAGTAGGTCATATATGTAAGAGATGCTCATAATTGACCGGCAGGGTGGCTCACGCCTGTGATTCCAGCACTTTGAGAGGCTGAGGTGGGTGGATCACCTGTCAGGAGTTTGAGATCAGCCTGGCCAATATGGTGAAACCTCATCTCTACTAAAAATACAAAAATTAGCCAGATGCACTAGCACACACCTGTAATCCCAGCTAGATGGGAGGCTGAGGCTGGAGAATAGCTTGAACCCAGGAGGTGGAGGTTGCAGTGAGCCAAGATCGTGCCACTGCACTCCAGACTGGGTGACAGATCGAGACTCTGTCTCAAAAAAAAGAAAGCTCGGCCGGGCGCGGTGGCTCAAGCCTGTTATCCCAGCACTTTGGGAGGCCGAGGCGGGCGGATCATGAGGCCAGGAGATCGAGACCATCCTGGCTAACACGGTGAAACCCTTTCTCTACTAAAAAATACAAAAAACTAGCCGGGTTTTTTGATGGCAGGATTCTACAGCACTCCAGCCTGGGCAGCAGAGCCAGACCCTGTCTCCAAAAAAAAGATAACAGCAATCACCCCTGGGTGTTGGGATTGGAGGTGATTTTATTTTCTTTTTATTTTTCTGGCTTTTCTAAATCTCTGATAAACTTGCAATTAAAGAAGAAATAACAGGAAATGTGTTTTATTGGGGTATTATTAGTATTTGCAAGTGTTCAAACCTAACTGCGGGAAAATGATGGCAGGATTCTACAGGCATATTTTAGAGCAGCTGTGAGATGCATGTAACTATGTAAAGGTTCGTATAGATGATTACTAGATCAGCATAAATGATATGCATAAATGAGGTGACGGGCGCCTGTAGTCCCAGCTACTCGGGAGGCTGAGGCAGGAGAATGGCATGAACCCGGGAGGCGGAGCTTGCAGTGAGCTGAGATCCGGCCACTACACTCCAGCCTGGGCGACAGAGCGAGACTCTGTCTCAAAAAAAAAAAAAAGAAAAGAAAGCTCATAATTAAAGCAGGATACAAAATATTGTACGATCGCAATATGACCACATTTTGCTATGTCTGAACAGAAATAGTATAAACAAATTAAAATATATCCATAAGAAAGGGGGGAAAGAATATAGTAAAAATAGTGCAAGGCGCGGTGGCTCACGCCTGTAATTGCAGCACTTTGGGAAGCCAAGGCAGGCATATCACTTGAGTCCAGGAGTTCAAGACTAGTCTGGGCAACATGGCAAAACCCTGTCTCTACAAAAAATACAAAAATTAGCCAGGTGTGATGGTAGGTACCTGTAGTCCCAGCTACTTGGGAGGCTGAGATGGGAGGATCGCTTGAGCCCAGGAGGCAGAGGTTGCAGTGAGCCAAGATCTTACCACTGCAAGATTCGTATAGATGTAAAGATTCGTATAGATGTAAAGGTTCGTATAGATGATATATCTGTGGACGTTTTCTGCAGGACTTTCATAACTTGTCACCTGAGTGAAATTTAATTCCTACGCAATTCTGGGAAATGGTGGCATGAGGCAGAAGGAGCCAGTGGCCAGTTCCTGAAGTGTTCTGGGAAACGGTGGCGTGAGGTGGAAGGAGCCGGTGGCCAAGGTCCCGGCTATGATTGCACCATTGTGCTCTGTGGACGGCAGAGTGAGACCCTGTCTCAAAAAAAACAAAACAAAAGTTGCCCTGATCCACACAAATTCTTGGTTTTGTTTTTATAAATGTGCTTTTATAAAGTGAAAGCCAAAGTGTTCTGTTATTTCAGTTTGTTTTTTTTTTTTAATCTCCTTTTAGGTTAAAAATTTTGCAGTTATTTATCTTGTGGATATTACAGAAGTACCTGACTTCAACAAAATGTATGAGTTATACGATCCGTGTACTGTCATGTTTTTCTTCAGGTATGTTATCTTAAAGTCGTTACTGAAATTGAATATTGTCAGTTTGGAAGTTTAATGTAACCAAGATCTCTTTATTTTATTTTGAAGGAAGTTGGTTCTACAGTCATATCCCAATATCATTTGTATCACCAGGCAATCAGTGTGAATCTTTTAAATAATTTTCAAAGTAACAATTCTAGTTTTAGTATTTACTTAATAACAAATTATCCTTTTGAAATAACTTTGCTGGGAAACTAGGTGAAGTGTAATTCAATGAAAGACATTCTTACTGACATTTTAGATACCTTGAACTAATCTGTTCATCAAAAATGTGTTGTAAAATCACGAATTTAGGCCGGGTACGGTGGCTCACGCCTACAATCCCAGCACTTTGGGAGGCCGAGGTGGGTGGATCACAAGGTTAGGAGTTCGAGACCAACCAGGCTAAGATGGTGAAACCTTGTCTCTACTAAAAATACAAAATTAGCCAGGCGTGGTGGCGCATGCCTGTAATTTCAGCTACTGGGAGGCTGAGGCAGGAGAATCGCTTGAACCTGGGAGGTGGAGGTTGCAGTGAGCCGAGATCGCGCCATTGCACTCCGCCTAGGCAACAAGAGCAAAACTCCGTCTCAAAAAAAAAAAAAAAAAAAACCTAATTTATTAAATACGATATCGACTTTAGTGTCCTTTTTTATATCAAAGAGGAACACCTGAACTGAATTACTTTGCTTATAAATACAATATTATTTTATCAGCTCAAAAATTTCATTATGGAAATTTAATGGGGAAGGAAATCACCATCTGATGCTGTTTTTGCTATTTAGTTACCATAGAGGTTGGTGAATTAGCTACATGAACATTAACCGTTTTCCAAAAGTGGAGCCTCCTGCTTGGTCAGGTGGGTTGTACAGGGTGTGTATTAGTTTCATAGTCTTTGTAACAAATTAGCACACATTGAGCAGCTTAAATCACCCCCCTTTTCAGAGCTCACAGCTCTGTAAGTCAGACATCCAGGCAGGGCCTGCTGGATTCCTGCTCAGGGTCTCCCAAGGTCTGAACCATGGGCCAGGTGCTTCTCTGGAGTGTCCGAGGGGCTTGTTTGGGTTGTGGGAATCCAGCTCTTCGTGGTGGAGAGTCTGAGATCTGCTTCCTTGCTGCTGTTACCTGAGGCCACGCTGCCGCTAGAGACCTCATCAGCCTCAAAGCCAGCGCCGGCATGCCGGCAGGGTGAGGTATTTTCACACAAGTTCTCTGACTTCCAGAAAAGTTCTGCCTGAGAAAATGCTCTGGTTTTAGAGGACTGTGATTAGATTAGACTTGCTTAAATAATCCAGGATGATCACCTTGTTTTATTGATTTATTGAGATGAAGTCTCACTCTGTCACCCAAGGTGGAGGGCAGTGGTGCCATCACAGCATCCTTGAACTCCTGGCTTCAAGCCATCCTCCCGCCTCAGGCTGCCAAAGTGTGAGGCACTGCCGCGGTTCTGGGCATCGGGATACGCTCCCCTGGACATGCCTTAGGCTTCCTAGGCACCTCCTGTTTGGGGAGAAGATCTGTGAGGTGCACCTGGACATGCCCTTAGGCTTCCTAGCACCTCCTGTTTGGGGAGAAGATCTGTGAGGTGCACCTGCATTTCTTGTGAACTTTTGATCTTTCATAGGTTTCAGCAAAGGTTGCATGGCGGACCCTCATCCTTTCCTCTGCTGTGCGTTCAGCAGCCATTTCTGAATTTCAGCACCTTTGGCCATCCGGAGAGGCTCAAGAATTTATTCCTTTTGTTAACAGTTCTTACACCAATTTGCCTGTTTCCTCTCTTGAAGGCAGCACCTCCGAGACTTTGTTTGGAAGTTTCCGCAGCTAAATATCCCAAGTGTGTTGTTTTTGAGCTCTGATCTCCCATAACTGAGGACCCTGTGTCCCTGTTCCTCGGCCACTCTATAATGGGGTCCCCTTTTCTCCGTTTCCCAGTAACGCACTCCTCACTTCCTTCCGAGCCCACACCAGGCATTCCTAAAGTCCATATTTCTGTTAACAGCCTGTTTGAGGCAATAGAGGCCTTTTCTAATTCTTCAGGTGAGAACAGGGAGGGCCGTCTTAGGTCTCTGTCCCCCACAGCATGCGGCGGAGGCCGGCCTGGGGCTGGAGATGCTGTGAGGGGCAAGGAGGCTGCAGGGAACAGCCTTGGATGGAGGCTGTAGCCTACTTAGTGTAGTTTGATAATCTTAGGACTGATGCTGTACTCAGAAAAGGAGATGAAACTTCCTTCTGCTGTTGTTTCTGTGATTCAGAATATTAAGACAAACGGTACTTTAGTTACCTTATGCACGGCCGGGCGCGGTGGCTCAAGCCTGTAATCCCAGCACTTTGGGAGGCCGAGACGGGCGGATCACGAGGTCAGGAGATCGAGACCATCCTGGCTAACACAGTGAAACCCCGTCTCTACTAAAAACACAAAAAACTAACCGGGCGAGGTGGCGGGCGCCTGTAATCCCCGCTACTCGGGAGGCTGAGGCAGGAGAATGGCGTAAACCCGGGAGGTGGAGCTTGCAGTGAGCTGAGATCCGGCCACTGCACTCCAGCCCGGGTGACAGAGCAAGACTCCGTCTCAAAAAAAAAACAAAAAAACAAAACAAAACAAAACAAAAAAAACCCTTATGCACTAAACATGTATCTTGAGCCCCCACCAGGTCTGTAGTCCAGTGGTGGGGCCTAATGTCAGATAAGACAGGATTCCCACTCTCACAGGACTTTGTCTGATAGAAGAAACAGCTGAGTAAATTAGCAGGGAGTACTGAAGAAGTGAAAGGAGGCAGGTGTTTATGAGATGTAAATACTGAAGAAGTACCCCCAAGTCAGATAGGGCTACAGGGAGGGTGCTACGGGCAGCCCCAGTCCGTGTAGAAGGATCTTGGTGCGTGCTGCGTGGAGCGCCGGCCTGCAGCATGGAGAATGAGAGGGCGGCCAGAGGTGGGCTCCAGACCCCGATCAGATTTGCCTTTCCTGAACCAGAGACTTCACTGGGAACGCTTTCTGTGGAATAGTAGGTGGAAGCCAAATGCATGATCTTGTGGAAAGCGAACGTTAAAAAACAGTCTTCAGGTGGGGCATGCCTGCCGCCCAGCCACTGCAGGCTGGGGTTCAAGTCTGGCCTTAGCAACATAGACCTCATCGCTAAGAAAAATAATCAGGTCGGGCGCAGTGGCTCACACCTGTAATCCCAGCACTTTGGGAGGCCAAGGTGGGAGGATCACTTGAGGCCGTGAATTTGAGACCAGCTTGGGCAACATAGGGATACCCCATCTCTACAAAAAACTAGAAATTAGCTGGGTGTGGGGGCTCATGCCTGCAGTCCCTGTTACGTAGAGGACTGTGGTGGAAGGATCATTTGGGCCGGGAGGTTGATTTTGCTGCCGTGCCCTAGCCTGGATGACAGTGAGACCCCGTCTCAGAAAGAAACTTCAACAAACCAGGATAAATTTATGCCAGTACAACAAAGGGCTAATATCATTATCTTGTAAAGTGCACATAAGTATTCATAAGAAAAAGAACTAATCTCTTGAAAGATAAGTAAAGAATCATCTGCTTCCCTCACCATAAACATGCAAAATGTCATCTTCATTTCATAGTTTGAAGGGCTTTTAATACAGTTTATGTCAGTGCTCAGAAGAGCACCATGAAAAACACATTGTTTTTATCAGGTGAATTAGTACAAATTAGGTGGGCTCTCATTTTGTTATCCATGTTGGTCTCAGACTCCGGGCCTCAAGTGATCCTCCTGCCTCAGCCTCCCAAAGTGTTGGGATTACAAGCTTGAGCCACTGCGCCTGCCCTCCTTTGACCTTTTAATTTCCCCTTAGAATATTTGTCCTAAATAAATACAGAAACATGCAGGGAAAAGCATGGTGGACGATGCATTGCATTCTTAAAAAGCACGTTTAGGTGCTTCCTGTGTTCTCCTGCATCATGGCAGACACTTTTGATTTTATGCGTTCTTCAGTGATGTTAACAAGAATTTGTAACAGTGGGAAAAATACAGCATTGTTTTCAAGGAATTCTTTTTTAAAGGGATTTTTATGAGAATGGATGCCCTTGTTTCTCTTTGCAGGAACAAGCACATCATGATTGACTTGGGGACTGGCAACAACAACAAGATTAACTGGGCCATGGAGGACAAGCAGGAGATGGTGGACATCATAGAGACTGTGTACCGTGGGGCCCGCAAAGGCCGCGGCCTGGTGGTGTCCCCCAAGGACTACTCCACCAAGTACCGCTACTGAGGCACCTCAGTCTGCGCGGATAAACGTCCTGGAGCCCTTTTTGTGTGGAAATGTTTTAAGCTATTTAAAGCCTTTGGAAAATACAGGAAGCTCGAGGGCTGGAGGACCTCTGAGATGGAATTGATTACATGGTCTTAACTCACCAAAATAAACAAGCACGTGGTGAGAGGAGCAGGCCTACTTGTTTGTTCTCAGGAATCTTGATGAATAGATGACTGATTTTTCCTAGTCAAAGTTAATTCCTATCCTTGGAGTAAAACGAAGGTGTTTATCCTGTGAGGTTGTGCATTTTGCGTACTTGATTAGTTTGCTGGGGCTGCGGTGACAGTGTGCCAGGAGCTGGGCCTTAACAGAGAAGCTCTCACAGCTTTGCAGGGCTGGGTCCAATCGGGTGTCGCAGCTTTGCAGGGCTGGGTCCGAGATCGGGCGTATCAGCTTTGTGGGGCTGGGTCCGAGATCGGGCGTCGCAGGGTAGGTTACTACTGAGGCCGTGAGGGGAATCTGCTCAGGCCTCTCCCTGGCTTCTGGGGGCTGCCGGTGGTCTTGTCAGTTCCTTGGTGTGTGGATACTTCTCCCCATCTCTGCCTTCACCTGTGTCCTCCCTGTGTGCTGGTCTCCAAAATTTCCCTTTCGTAATGACACCGTCTGTGTTGGATTGGGGCCCACCCTGCTCCAGCGTGGCCTCATCTTAACTGATTCCATTTGCAAGGATCTTATGTCTACAAAAGTCACAGTCTGAGGTGCTGGGGGTTAGCACTTCATTATATAAATTTTGGGGTTACACAGTTCAGTCCATGGCAGAACCCAAAGGCTTACTCTTACTCTGGTTATAAAAACAGTACAATAAAATATTGTTTAGAGCCTTCCCTGTAAGGAATAGAAGAGCTATTTTTTATTCTTCCCAAGATTGTATTTGATGTAAACATATTTTCTGTAGAAGCCGTGGCCCTTCAGTTCATATAGTTAGAAAATTTCCTTATTGACCGGGCACGGTGGCTCATGCCTGTAATCCCAGCTACTTGGAAGACTGAGGCAGGAGAATTGTTTGAACCCGGGAAGTGGAGATTTCAGTGAGCCGAGATCATGCCACTGCACTCCAGCCTGGGCAACAGAGCAAGACCCCGTCTCAAAAAAAGAAAAGAGAAAATGTCCTTGTTACAGTCTCAGCTTTCTCTTGCCCTCTCTGCTAGCAGTGTGGATGGTTGGTTGGGAGCTTCATGTCCCATCTCAGTGCACTCAACGCTCTGAAGTGAAAGTGAGGAAGGGCGGGGATGGGGGCACCTGAGCACACCCTGGGCCCTCTGACCTCAGACCCAGGCTCTGCCCCACCAGGTGACCTTGGGCACCTTCTCTGAGCTTCCATTTTCTTCATGGTAAAGGCGGATAATAGTGTCTGCCCTGCACACAGATGTGAACACGGGAGCACATGGTGCCCGCGGGGCACGGGAGTGGTGCACAGGGCTCGCTGCTGTGGGAGATTGATTGCTGTTGTGAAAACAGGAGGTTACTTACAGAATGAAGCACATTTTTTCCATACACTACAAATGAGTGTGTGCTTTTTAAATGGATTTAAAATTCAAATGCAAATCTCTAGTCTCCCATGTGCTGATTTTTGCATGTATAAAGGAGGAGAGGGTTAACACCATATCAGAGTGAGGGGCTAGGGAGAACATGTATGTGACCTCGAGTTCCTGGCATGTAACAGACACTCAGTATTATACTCCGGATATTTCTCCAGAGCAGGTGAAACAGACGGCCAGGAAGCACACAGAATGACAACATCCCTGCTTGTTAAGGAAGTGCAAATCAAAACCACAGTGAGACGCCACTTCACACCCACGAGTTCGGCTAGATACAAAACGTAGATCACAATAAGCGTTTGCAAGGATGTGGAGAAATTGGAGCCCTCACACACTGCTGGTGGGAAAGTGATAACAGGCAGGTCGGTCGTCAAAAAGTTAAACAGACTGGGTGCAGGTGTCTGAAGCCCGTAATCCCAGCACTTTGGAAGGCTGAGGCAGGCAGATTGCTTGAGCCCAGGAGTTCATGACCAGCCTGGGCAACCTGGTGAGATCCTGTCTCTACAAAAACTACAAAACAATTAGCTGGGCATGGTGGTACCTGCCTGTGGTCCTAGCTACTTGGGGGGCTGAGGCAGGAGGATCACTTAAACCCAGGAGGTCAAGGCTGCAGTGAGCCATGGTTGTGCCACTGCACTCCAGCCTGGGCAACTGAGCAAGACCCTGTCTCAAAAAAAAGACAAGATAAACATGGTGTTACCGTTTGACCCAGCAGTTTCATACCCAGGAGAATTGAACGCGTGTGTCCACACAGAAACCCGTACACAGAAGCCAAAATGTGGAAACCAAGTGTCCTTCAACAGATGAATGGTTAAACAAAATGTCCATCCGTAGAACGGAATATTATTCGGTCATAAACACAATGAAGTACTGACACATGCTACAACATGGGTGAACATTGAAATCATTAGGTTAAGTGAAAAGCCAGTTACTATATATTGTGCAATTCCATTTATACGGAATTTCTAGACTAGGCAAATCCAGAGAGGCAGTTGAGTGGTTGCTTAAGACTGGGAGTGGGGGGAAATAGGAGGGGACAGCTAATGGGCAGTTTCAGTTTTGACATAATGAAAACGTACTTACATCAGCAGAGCAGGCAGAAAACGTGCCCTAAGACGGTGGTAATGGTACAGTTCTGTCAATGGCGTAGTTGGTGCATGATGTGTGAGTTCTGTCTCTTGTTGATAACAGCTTTATTGGCTGTTACCAGAAAAAGATAAAACAATTACATCCCACATTTGTAAGTTTATTGTGTATTTATTATAAATGTGTTGCGTATTGTATTAGTCTGCCCAGGACTGCCATAACAAGACTTCAGATTGGGTGGTTTAAACAACACAGTTGTTTTCTGGAAGTCCCAGATCAAGGTGCCGGTCCGTGTGATTTCTGGGGAGGGCTCTCGTTGGCTTGCCGATGGCCGCCTTCTCTGGGGCAGGGACAGGGGGAGAGCAGGTGAGCCCCTGGCATGTCTTCTCAGAAAGACGAATCCTGTTGGATGAGGGCCCCACCCTCAGGACCCCTGTAACCTTAATGACTTCTGTAGAGTCCCCATCTCCAAACACAGTCATGCTGCAGTTAGGTCTTCAGCTGTTTAGGGAGACATAGATGTTCAGTCCGTAACTCCTATCAGGTGTAGTAAGTATGTTCACCCTTGATTTTAATAACTTTCTCATTGGTGCTTTGTGGCTGCAGTGCAGTTGAAATCATGATTTGAACTCTGTATTTCAAGTTTGTCTCATTATGTACCTACTGTATACCTTGCCCTGACCTAAGTGCTTTGCAAGCAGTTTTCTTAAATCCTTACAATCACCTACCAGGTAGATATTTTGCGGAGAAGAAAACCAAAGCTTAGATTTCCCCAGGTTACAGCCAGCAACAGAGGCTAAGAATTTGAAACCTAGGCCTGCATGGCTGCCAAGCTTTGCCTTCTCTGTGGCACTGTGGTGCTTTAATCAAGTTGGATTAACTCGCGGCTCTCTGGGTACCTAGTGAATTCTATGTCCCATCTTCCCAGGATGGCGTCTAGGCAAAGTCCAGAAATTACTGTGGCAGCTAATGCAGGCGACAAGCCCCTAGGTACAGAATAACCAAGTCCCCTAGAGAAACTGGCAATGTGTACACAAAGAAGTAGACAAGAGTAGTGCAGCATTGTTTGAAAACAATACTAGTCAAATACAAAGTAAATCATGAGAGGACTGTTAGGCAGCAGTTAGCCACTGACCTAGAGCCACACATGTCGACGTGAATCTCAGTACTGAACCAAAAAGCAAGGGGCAGAAGGCTACATAGAGTGTGCGGCCGCTGTCACACTGCTTTAAGACTTTCAGAACAAACGTCTGAAGGTTAAGATGCCAGTGTGTCTGCAGGAAACCTGGTTAGGTGTCTGGGGGAACACTGCGTCTGCTCTGAGCTCGCAGAGAAGGGATGAGGACTTCAGTCCACCAGCAGAATCAGAGCACTGCCATCTCTGCCCACCTGAACAGACCACACCCAAAAATTACAATGCAGGGTGAAGTCATGGCTCACCAGCTTTCTGACCTGGAGGTTCAGAGCGTCCCTGGGGAAGATCCGCGTGGGCACAGGTGGGAGGACCTGTTCTCCGTGGGCGCTATTCTGAATCGTTTTTCCTGTCGTTTTTACTAATGGCTTTAAACATACCTCTGATCCTAGCCTTCTTTTGTGGCATGTTTACATTCAGCATCAGAAGCTGTGAGAATGTCTGCAGTGCCCTCATGAGGTTCCGGTTGCACTGGGTGGCCTGAGATGCACTGCAGAGGAGGCACTTTGGGAGGCCGAGGCGGGTGGATCACCTGAGATCAGGAGTTCAAGACCAGCCTGGCCAATGTGGTAAAACTCCGTCTCTACTAAAAATACAAAAATTAGCTGGGTGTGGCCTGGCATGGTGGCTCACGCCTGTAATCCCAGCACTGGGAGGCCAAAGCGGGTAGATCACCCGAGGTTGGGAGTTTGAGATCAGCCTGGCCAACATAGTGAAACCCCCGTCTGTACTAAAAATGCAAAAATTAGCTGGGTGTGGTGGCGCATGTCTGTCGTCCCAGCTACCTGGGAGGCTGAGGCAGGAGAATGGCTTGAACCCGGGAGGTGGAGGTTGCAGTGAGCCAAAGTCATGCCATTGCAATCCAGCCTGGGTGACAGAGCAAGACTCCACCTCAAAAAAAGAAAAGAGCATTTGGAAATTTATTCCTGGCAGTTTTCATGCAGCACAGAGGCAGCAATTCCCATAGTGAACAAATACGGAATTGTATGTTTCAAAATGAAAGCAGTCAAAAGATATGCAAAAGGTTGACATAGTTTCCTAATAACCTTACCATTTGTTGTTTAATAGAATTTTCAATGCCAGCTTGCACCATTAAGTCACTGACATTCTTCTGTAAGTCCTCGATGCGGTTTCCCATTTCTTCCAGTGCAGTGTTAAGGAGTTCTGTGTAGAGCCATGGGGGCACAGCCAGGATGTCCTCAGAGACCCCGCCTCCCATGGCACCTGCCGTCACCATGCTCATGGCAAAGCCACAGCAGATGCAACTTTTAAAACGAGGGAATCAATGACAGGCCTAGTGTCTGCAAATCAGCTTCTTTCCCTGAGTTTTCCTCGGTGTGTCCCTTTAACCTTTAAACCGTGAGCTTAGAAAACGTGGCTCCCTTTGCTTGGACATGGATTTGGGGACAGGAGATCGGT